CCCCCCCTCAAATACTGATAAATGTCAGAGCATGCAGAACTCTGATCCCATCCTGCCCAGGGTACGTGCATGGCCCTCGTGCTGGAGAGCCCGGCCAGACCCAGTGCTCTGAAAGGTCCCCTCGAAGCCCCGAGGCGACTGGGGAGGGCAGCGGGGAGGGGAGGAAGGGGTGTTATTGCAGAGCATCTCTGTCCCCCCGCAGGGTCAGGGCTCGCCGGTGACGTGCTGCTGCAGAGCCGAAGTGATGGCTTTGGAGTCTGTCACCTCCTCCGGCAGGCAGCCCTCCTGGTCCCGCAGCCCGGGGTCTGCTCCCGACTGCAGCAACAGCTCCACGATGTCCAAAAACTCGCAGGTAGCAGCTGGAGGGAGAGAGGGAAGGGTTAGTCTGGGGATCCTGCCCCGAGGCGGCGGTGATGGGCGCTGCTGGAGCGGTGGCTGTAGCTGGCGACTTCCCATGAGTGTGCCGGAGGCAGGAAACGCCGTCTCAGCACCTGGCCCGGCGCAGCAGATCATTTTTCGGGGCAGTGTTCAGTACACAGTGTATTACTTTGGATTTAATAGTGCAAAGGAAGGAGAAAAGACGGAGTGAGAGCAAAGCCAGAAGTCAGGGGAGGTGTTACTGGTGCAACCAGCACCCCAGAGCCCACAGCCCAGACACGGAGCTGCCGGGAGCCCAGGGGTTTGCACGGCATCACCTGAGACAGAGGGAGCCTGGGCACAGCTGGCTAGGGCTCCTTCACATCCAGGAATGGAGACTGACCCTGGGAAGGGCCCCAGAGTGCTGGTGCAACACTGCAGAGAGCCCCAAAGTGCCACCTGGGAAAGCATTCCCTGCCTGCTTTTGCACCAATAATTTATAATGCATTTATCTGTATCTATACCTATATCTGTATCTAATGTATCTATTTATGTATAACATCCTTGTAAGTCCCCGCCCCTTACCTGCTTCCTGAACCTCCCAGGGCTCCACAGGCAGCACATTCCAGGCAGGACATCATCAGTACTGCCTCGCTCCTGGGTTTCATCCATCATTTCTCCTTGCAGAAACTTCGGATGGTTTTTAGCTGCTGGCCATCCCCTCCCTGAGCACCAGCTCCAAGGGGCCGTGTCCGTGCCCTCGGACAGCTGGTCATGGCACACACATTCGCACCTCCACTAGGAACTATTTTTCAATCCCTGATTTTCTCTGCCAAGATAGAATCAAGTTTGACCTGAGCTCTTCTCTGTCCCCAGGATGTAACAATCCTATCTAAGGATGCTAAAAAAAAATAAAAGAACCAGGAAAATCAGGAAAACTCTTAACACTTAAGAGATGGACTTGGCTGATATCAGCAGAAGTTCCAGACCCTGGATTTTCCCTTAAGACCATGCAAAGCAGATCCTAGAGAAGCCAAAACGGCCTTATGAGGTTGTGAAGGTGGTACCTTTCCTCTTGCATTGGTAGCAATTGGTTTTAATTGTATTTTGGGTGCTTTTATAAAGCAACCGACTGACTCTTTTAGTAATTAGAGAGTCTTTTGCATTACTCTGCAACTCTCTACTGAACCAGCAATGTCTCATTAAAATAAAGTCAATGTGCAATTGGAGCTCATACTGGAGATAAAATAAGGAAGAAAAAAGGGGGAAGGGGTTGGTGAGGAAGCAGGTGTGGGTGTGGGTGAGGCTGAGCTGAAGAGCCGGGGGGGCACATCCCTTTGCAGAAATCAGACTTCCAGAGATGCCAAGAAAGCTGTGGTGGCAGGTTCTGGGGATGGGGAGCTGGGTGCCCACACAGGGAAATGCCACTTTCTCGTCTGGTGCCACCGTCGGGCACAGCCCATGTCCTTGAGAGGGCTGGGGACATCCCAGGGGATGAGCACAGCTGCTGGATTTATGGCACCCTGGGACCCTCGATTTGTCAGGGGCCGGAGCGGCAGCCCTGACACTGGCACGGGTGAAGATGAATTTCCATTCAGCGCAGTTCGCCTCCCGACTCCATTAATCCTCAGGGTTCAGATGATGAATTCTTTTTTTTTTTTTTTTATTATTTATTTTCCCTCCAGCATCCCCTCCCACTGCCCTGCCAGAGCACAGACAGAGCCGAACAGATGGTGCTTTGCAGGGAAGCCGGGGCGCCCATGAGGATACAGAGCCTGCCCACTCCGCGGCCACGTGGCCACCACGGCTCGGAGAAGCCTTGATTTCCTCTGGGAGAGGCAGCAGCAATGATTTCAGTATTCCCGGTGGGCGAGTGGATGGATGGATGGAGAGGAGCCGAAGGCTAACGGGCCCTTCAGCAGGGAGACCGTGGTCAGAGCGACCAGCCCAGCTCCAGCCCGGGGCAGAGTGGGCCCGGCAGTGGGTCCCACTGGTGATCCGGTGCCTCCGGACCGCGCTGCCGGATGGCCTCCACTTAACCTCCGATTAAACCCGGGGTCGGCGCCCATCGGAAGGAGGCAGGATTTATAACCCGCAGCAGGATGCAGTTTGACACCGGCTGTAATCAGGAGAGCTGTCACCAGGACAAGGACAGCTGTCAGGCCACGCCGCCTCATAAAAAGGGATGCAGACACCCTAAAAGCAGTGCCTGCCTCGCTGGCCTTGCTGATGGGATTTAACCCTTCCCTGAACAGCCTCCAACAAAAGGGAAGGCCTTGTGAAGGCACTGCTCAGCTCAGAAACAGTTTTCATAGGAGCTCTCACGCCTCTCCTCTGCAATTAACAGCTTGGTTGTGAAGTGCTGACCAAAATGGTACTGGGGGGTTTTCAGGAAGTTCCATTCAGGCCAACAGGCACTTGAATCCAAACCAGTCCCTCATTTAACAAGCTGTTTCCAAGATTGGGGGGATTTATGATCAGGTCAGTAAGTAAGGGAATGAGAATGGCCTGGGTGCAGTGATGGTCACCAGAAATAGCTGGGCACCCATGGACACACTGGACCTGTGTGCCAAAAAGGCTTCCCTAAGACAATATACAGGGAAGAGAGGTGGGAAGGGGGAAGAAAAAACTTTAACACTTAAAGCATTTGGGAAGAAAACCATGGTAAACTGTCACTATTGAAATATCTGAGCTGTCAGGGTGGATCAGAGAAACCGTTTCTGAAATAACGTTCATTAAATCAGTTATGTTCGTTTGACTGTTAAACAGGCTGCCTCAGTCACCAGCCAGAGTGATCCACCTCCACAGAATTTACACTCAGGTGATGCATCCACCCTTTTTTTTCCACATACTGGCCTTGCTTGAATCAGATTCTCATGGATAAGTTATATATGTGCTACGCTTGTGCACGACCTACAGTCATGTACTGTGCACCCCTCCGTAGGCAGATGTCAGTCCTGGAGCTGGGAGCAGGGAAAGCATCTTCCCAGGAGAGAGAAAGCCCAAAATGTGGAATGAATTAGGCAGAGAAGGAGGCAATGTGGCATTTTAAGTGCTGTCAATCTGTGGACAACGCTGTGCTAAGCAATAGATTCACTACTCCAGTCACAATGATAGGAATTTGAAAAATAGAGTATCCTACAGGAAAGATGACATGGTGAGAAATCACACATTATTGTAATTATAGTCTCAGTTCAGGGGCCCTGGAATCTGGGAGTTTAGCTCCAGATCCAAATGCTGTGCTTTGGACTGATGCTCTGCAAAGCAATTTTGCCATCCTGTTAATGTCCTTGTGGAGAGATCAGGGAGAGAGAGAAAGACACAAACACTTCAGAATGACAAGTATGCTCTTAATTACAGTGACAGGCATCAAGAGAGAGTACAAAATAATAACTGGCTATGTCTTAATTTTGGGAAAAAATTATGATCCAGATTAAATCGATACTTTATTCATATTCCCCCACACACCAGCACCACATGCATCACTTCAGTCTCTACTCTTCTCATTTGGAGATAGGACAATCTTTCAATTAAAGAATCCTATAAAACCATGCATCTAATTAGCCTGTAACTGTAGGAGGGATGCGAACTGTGACTTCCCCCTGCTGATTTTGGTAGTAGAGAAGCTGCTGCTCTCTCAGCTACAATGAAACAAGTTTGTCATCAGGACACGTAGAGGTGAAGGCCACCTTGGTCATCCCCTTCCCCTCACCTGTGTAACCTGTTAAAACTGATACAGACCCTCCCTGAAGGCCCAGGGATTTGGCATTCCCTAATCAGAGCCACTCCTGGGTCTGGAGGTGGCACAACCACATCTTAGAGATGCAAAGGTGAACAGGAAAACTCTGCATCATTAACTGGGGGCAAAGGAAGGCTTTAAGGTGACATTTGCAGAGGAGAAGGAAGGGAAGACAGCAGTTTTCCTTGCTGCTTCTCCCAAGGCTCCTACTCCTACCGTGCTGGATTTGACGGCAGAGGTAATCAAATCCAGCTTCCCTGCTCATTTTTCTCCTGAAATTTGCTTTCTGTGCATTGAGCATTTACTCCAGCTGCAAATCCATCCTGTTAAGAGGGGACAACCAAGCTGAGAGGCAGCTTACCATAATGGAGTGCAGTCTGGCCTTCCCCATCCTGAAAAAAGAGAGAGAGACTTGATTTTAGAGGTATAGGCAATGCCGTGGGGACACAAGTAAATCACAGTTTTAAATAAATAAGCTGAATCACAGCAATGTTTTAATGGACTAGATAAAAAGACCAGGACATCCAGCTACCTGACAGTTGGGATTTGAATCATCCTCCACCCATCACTCCATATTGACACATAATCAATACCTATCCACCCATAAGAGTGCGTGGATCACGCCATGACTTGAGTATAATTCAGTTCATAGTGTTATCACTTCCATCCCATAAAAATGAAGGATTTCAATCCTATGGCCTTACTCTGGGATTCTCACTAATCCTGATGCTTTAGTGCAAGATGTTTCAGTGCAAGCCCAGCCTTGGCCTACTTGAGAGAAGGGTAAAGCACCGGGACACTGTGCTGCACTCTTTAGCACAAAGGATCACACAGAGGGAAGAAAATCCAGTTTTTCTCCAACTGAATAAATCTTAGGTTCCTGCTCTTTGGAATTCAGGTCTACCCAAAGCCCAGGTAAGTTCTGTTGGGTGAGGGAAGGGCACAGTGCTGAGGGATGAGCAGGTTGCCGAACTCATGCCTGTGAAACACCTGCAGCACAAGGGCAAAGCAAACCACATGATTTGTAGGTGTTGGCACACAGACCCCTCTTCCAGCTTAACACATACACCACTGCACCAGCTGCAGTGCTTTGGGAAGTGTGTCCCCTTCCCAGGCTCCTGAGTCCCTCCCTAGGCTCTGCTGGAGAGAGCACATGTGGCACATCCAGCAGTGCACACCCAGGCACCTCACACCGCCACAGCATCGTCCTGCCACCAGAACAGGTGAAATAACAGAAGGAAAGAATTACTGGCCACTTTGCTTTCACTACCCCATCAGGATTAGCCTCTAATTCAGTTCTTTGCCTCCTTAATTTATTTGCATCTGTCTATGGAGACTTAAGTTTTTAATTACCATCATCTTTGGGATTAAGGTGCAAATTCTGGTGTCTGTTGTGGATTCTGGAGCAGGCGAAAGGGAAAAGGAGAACAGGAAAACAGGTAGAAATCTCACCCATAGCTGGAGACTTCTGGTTTCCCACCTGCTATTCTGTGATATTAACCCTGCTGAGCTGAAAAACTAGGAATCATCTGTGTTTCAGGGTGGGAGGTGCCACCCTTTGCTCTGGGACATTGCACCAACACAACCACAGCAACAGACACAAAAGAGAAAAGCCAGATGTAACAGGCATTTGCTGCCTCAATATCCATTTCATGTCTTTTCCAAGCAAAGGAATGTGCCACTATGTTCCATTCACATCAGTGAACTCACACCAGTGTTTGAAGACTCCTCATTTCAGGAGCCTATTTCTGCCCAAACTGCAGGGACATAATGCAAATGGGTGTCATTAGAGATACTGCAAGCCAAAGAACTGAAGGAATCAAGGACGGCATCCATTGATTACTCCACATTAATAAGGTAACTGATCTGAGCCAGAGCCCCCGAGAGCTCCTTAAGCACGTGCCTGCTCGGAGGAGTGACAGGGCCGGCACTGACTTCAGCAAAATACGGAGCAGGGCTGGGGAAGAAGAGGCAGCAGCGCTCCAGATGAGTTATTGGAAAGGCAGGATGTCAAATATGTGGGCTGGGGGATGGGAAGCCAGCTCCCCTCCGCATCGCCGCCTTCAAAACTGCAGCCGACAAAACCCACAGGTGAATGGGACCGGAGCTGTGCAGCAGAAATCCCTTTCCATAGGAACACTTTGCTGCAGAACTCCCTATAAAACACACAGGACTGCTCCAGGATACTACAGCCATTTGTTCCTCTTCCAAAGGCCTGTGGAAAGCACTGCTGCTTCAGCAGCCGGCTGGATCTAACGAGGCTTTTTATTTCTCTTAGATGTACTTCCTGGCATCTGTTGGGCTAAGGAGGGAGCGCGAGTCCTGGCATAGGAGATGCGTGTCTTTAATCCCAGTGTGGTTTTTATAAAGAACTATTAATCCAATGTTATGCAAACATGGTTTGCACTTTATTTACGCTGCGGATTTTCCCCCCCCTTTGCGCGTTCCGGCCGGCCAAATGCTATTTGTTACACTCCTCAGATGCTGTGCTATTTGCTTGTATTTCCTCTGTGACAAATTTTAATCCAGGTAAATGGAAAAAGCTTTAGCGTGGTCACTCACTAAAGGCCTTGAAATGCCCTCGGGAAGCTGCTGATCTCAATCCCTCTTTGATTTGGCTTTTTGGAGCACCGTGGCTAATCGGAGCCTGACGTGCCCGGCTGCTCCAGGTACGGCAACGCTGAGCCTTCAGAGCAAAACGGTCACACCTGGAGACTAATCAAAGATTGGCTGTGAAAGTGAGGATTGCAGCTCCTATTGTGGGAATTATGTGAGACGAATATTGCCCACGAGAAGCTGGAAATGTTTGTTTTGCAATGAAACACAGTGTGCAGAAGATGAATTAAGATGGCCTTGATGCAAGGGATATTTCCCAACATGAGACAGAAAGCAGCAGTTTCTAGAGCATCCTAGGGAGGTGCAGTGTGTTCTTCTCCCAGGATGTGCCTCTGTTGGGATGAGTGATCCCAGTGAGTGGACAGGGACAACCTGGTGCAGCCTCACCCTGCTGGCACCAGTCAGGAGCAGGGCACCTGGAGCGCATCCTCCACAGCCGGGAGGAATGCAGAGATGCTGACAGTGATCAAGGAACAGAGATGCTGATTGTGATCAGATGGATAGTTTCGGCAGATGTACCAAAGAGAAGGTGTTGAGTAGGGGAGCTGATGTTGGGGAGTGCAGAAGAAGAGATGGGCAGCTCTGAGGCCAACACACAATGCCAAGCTCTGCTCTGTGCCAGGATGCCTCTGAGAAATGCTCTTTCATCATCACGTGTTAGCTGGGATGTGTCACTGTGACAGGTTAAAAAGGAGGCAACCTGCTCTAATTCAGTGAACTTCAACACAAAAGGTGGGAAAAGCCAGGCTCAAAGCAGTAATACACCTTCTGTAAAGGCTTGCAAGGCCCTGGTAGGTGCCTGTCCCAGACCCCTTTTAGCAATGCTCCATCTATAGAAAGGAGGAGCTCCTGGAAATGGCAGAAACCCACACACGTAGACAGAAAACAATCAGAAGGGAAAGAAAGACCATTACACACTCGAGTGTAAGAGTGCTCAATCCCACACATGAACGTTACTGACCAACAACAGATCTGACTCCAAGCTTTCCTTTTGCCTCCTAATGTCGGGTGCCATCCTGGATGCCTTTTACAGCTTCCTGGCACATCTGGCCATGGCAGGATGACAGCCAAGCTGCACAGCTTTGAGGGAGATGAGAGCACTTCCAAATACTTCAAAACCAAAGCCTGAATGTCCATGTCTACCAAACCCATCCAAACAAAAGATGCTACAAAATCAGCAGTACCTCCTACATGCAATGGTCTGCGACAGATGTCACTCAATGAAAATCCAACTACCAGTGGATAACTTATTGGATAACAGGATTTTGTGCTGCTCCTGAGAAATTTAAGCAAGAGAAATGAGAGAAGATGGACCGAGCGCAGATGGACCAACTGTCTTATCCGCTAAGTGGTACTATGGCTTCTGCACGTCAATTTTGTCTCATAAGTGATAGGATTATATCGGTGTTGCCGTCCCATGTTCATTCCTTGGGAATTTCTGTTCCCTGCTTAACCTAACACAAGTTCTGGACTGAAGGGCAGAGACATGGAAACGGTTCGGCTGAGCCCTGCTGAGATGCTGTACACTCTATAAAACATAGCTGCTGTTTCTTGCTGTTGAAAGTAGACCTTGACTGGCCAGTGTTTGGCTGTGGCTTCACAGGACAGTTTAAACAGTGTGCTATAAACATTGATTGTCCAGACCTGCCTCATTACAAGCTGTGTGCAGAAATCTCTGTGAGAGGGAGGGTAGCCCTAAGGGAGATGCCGCCTCTTCTGCATCTCACCTGTTTTACTTAGCACTTAGCAGAGAAAGAGGAAGAACAAGTCCTTGATGGTTACCTGGGTGAGCTCTGGTCCAGCCTGACCAGTGATGAAGGTGATAATGCTGAGCTGGACAGCCTCCACACCAGCATGAGGGTGTGTAGGGGACTCCAGTGCTGCTCCACACAGGCCTCATCTCAGTGCCTTCAATCACATCCCCAAGCGCAGACACCGTGAGCGCACCATGAAAAGCACAGCAGAAAACATCTACACTGTCCTTTCCCTTTGAGGGATAGCACTTCTGCTTTTCATTTTAAGGTATTTTTTCCCCCATGTCACCTCTTTTTCTGTTCATTTGTGGCAACTTTCAAGGTGCACACTCGTTCCCATTGACAGGCGCCGAATGTTGGCAGGGATCGCAGGAGATAAGAACGATGCGGTGATAAGAGTGTTTAACAGCGCCGGGTCCTGGGCAGCACGGATGGGCCAGAGGGAAGATAAATATTTACACTACATCTTTAGAAGGTGAGTGAATAAAAAGGGCCAGAATAATACAGCCTCTGAACAAGCACTGGTGCTTAGGAGCTGTAATATAAATCTCTGCAGCCTCACGACACACACTCACTCAAGCCAGGGAGATGAAAAATAGCAAGAAAATACTTCCCTCCACTTTTAAAAAGGGTTTTATTTCTCATTTATTTCCACTTTAGACTTCAACTTCCCAACAATTTACTTTAACCTCATCATCTTCTTATTCTCTCTCAGAAATTTTATCTCCAACAAGACTGAGGGTGAGGCTACAGCTAAAAGCACACCAGAGTTTACATGTTAATACCCATGAATACGTAAAACCAGGCAATGGGGGTTAAAATAACCAGTCTGAACTCCATCAAACAATTCAGTAGGTGGCCTTAACCCAGCCTTTATATTCATTTTCACACTGTTTTTGAATGCAGCAGACTGGGTTTGTACATGTACATTAATACATGTCAAATGCTTGCCCAAGTGAAGCAGATAGAGGAGTGGCAAACGCTGGCATAGAAAAGTGATGGTTTAGTTTGACATGTGATCC